TGTGTTCTGCAAAAAGGCCAGTGTCTTAAAAAACACACAGTCTTAGGAATTCTTCCAGATTTCAGTAGACCAAATTGACAGCTGAATGCATTGCACAAATCCATGCTTTTATTTTGCCATAAAAGGTATCATTGGGGGAACTGGTGAAATCTGAATGAGGCCTACAGACTAGATAATAGTATTATGTCAGCAATAATTGCTGGTTTTGAATTTGTACTGTGGTTATATGATGGAATGGCCTTGCTTTTAAAAAATACACACCAGCTTGGTTAGGGGTAGAAAGGGCTCATATCTGAAACCACACTTGAATGAGTCAGGAAAAAATTACAAACAGGTAGGTAGATAGCTATGGAAAGATAAAGTGAATATGGTTTAAGGTGTTTTATTTAGGGAATCTGGTTGAAGGGAATACAGTTCTTTCTATTCTTGCAACTTTTCTGAACATTTGAAATTATGTCAGGATTAAAACTTAAAGGGAAAAACAAACATCAGAGCAGGAGGTATCCTGAGGTGCATGTTAATAACACTCCCAGATGCTGTGCTCTGCCTCCTGGGTGCCACACTCTCGCTGTGGCTTCATGGGCATAACCGTAGTCTGTCCTCACTACACTCTGTCTGGAGAAGCTATCATGGCCCCATTTCACAGATGCAAGTCAGGAAGGTAAAGGAATTTGCTCCAGGTCCCACAGTGACTTGGAGTTCCCAGACTGGAAAGTAGGCTCTCTGAGTTCAAGGTCTGTGCTCTTTTTTTTTTTTAATTTATTTATTTATGCATACAAGAACTGGGGTACAGGCCAGGTGTGGGGAGGATTCACCATAGACAGAGTGGGGAGCAGAACAGGCAGACTGACAAAATACACTGCTGAGGGGAGCAGCAGGCGAGCCAGGAGAGGTCTGCTGCGCCATGTGGGTAGCTCCCTGGCTGGCCAGGGATTGAACTTGTGCTGTAGAGGCTGTAGATAGCTTCATAGTGCTGTGCCATTAAGGAGGCCCAAGGTCTGTGCTCTTAGCTTCAACCCCATTGGCGACTCTGACCTTCAGGGGAGTGTAGAATGGTCTGGCCCAGGCATTTCTTCCTGGGGCAGTGACGGAGTGAAGACCTTGGGGCAGAAGCAAAGAAGATCCATTTTCAGGATGAAAAGAGATATTATTCTAGAATTCTGCAGGGAGAAGACCCAGTGTGCCAAGCAGGACATTCTGGCATATGGGAGGGCCTTCAAATGCCAGGTGGCGTTGCCAGTGGTGGCCACCATGGCTGCTAGCAGGGGAGCCCCAGGGCATAGCCTGGAGTGACCTAGGATTGGGTGGGGCATTCTCTGCAGGAGGAATGACCTTAGAGGAGCACCTTGGGAGATGACTGGAGACCTTTGCAGCCAGGTCCAGCCCGCTGTCCAAGGTGGAGGGATTGGTGGTACCAGGAGCTAGCCGGCTTGGCAGTTTGGGGCACTCCATGAGCTGTGTTTAGGGGCAGCCTGGCCAGATAGGTGAGCAGGAATTGCTGAGGACTGGGTCTAACCTGGCAGGTCACCCTGGGGTGTTGTGTGAGGAGGAGGATTTCTCTTCTGGCTGCGGGGAGGATGTGGGAAGAGCTGAGTGACCTCTGGCAGTCCCTCCCAGTCACCGGGGCTGTCTGGCTTTTCCCCAGATTAAAGAGCTGAGGGTAAGTGTCTGGCAGTGGGATGAGTCAGACTGAGAGGCTGCCTCCTTCCACTGTCAGCCAGCCCTGGGGAGAGGTGGGCTCGGGGTTTGGCCTACTTCCCCTCAAATGTCATCCCCCAATACCCTGAGATTGGGTGGGGAAACACATGGGTTAGTAAACTGGTTTATTTTGCTGGGTCCTGTGTGTGCATCTGAGCTACTTCCTGTGTGTGCATGTAGGTGCAAACATCACCTATTGTAAAATATCACTGTTTTCATGGGTGAGTAGTAATTACTGGGTAATGCTTTAAAACCTTTCCTGAAGGAGCGCAAAGCTGGTTTTTTTTTCTAAAGTCAGGAGTACATTAAAAGGATTACCATGTAGATTTGATTTTTAGATAACACTAAAATGGATCCCAAATGGACTTCAGCAAGGGGATGCTATCTCCTTAATGGAAAGTGCATGGCCCGAGGCTCAGCTCCCAGAGCCAGCCAAGGGAGGGAGGGAGAGAAGAGGTGTCTGCAGGGGCAGACTAGCAGGCTGAGTGGGGGGCTGGGGAGACAAGGCAGAGAGGGACAGCCTGGACCCTCGGGGGAGCATCTCACTCCGTTTGGGTAGCAAAAATCCATAGATGTCACCTCAAGGCCCCTGTACCTCCCTACAGGTTTTCAAGCCTCCTGGACTAGCCCAGTGAGAGCACACATAGTGGGGGTGCTCTGTAAAGAAGGGAGGGGTGAGTCAGATTTCACCTGGACCTCAGCCTTTCCAGGCAGTGAAAGATCAAGGTCCTGCAGATGCTCGGGGGCCTTCCAGTTAGGCTGGCCATGGTGCTTCATGTTTCGGTGGACGTCAGACCCTGGCAGATACTTGGCTCTTGTGGGCTCACCAGGGCCCAGGAAGCAGAGTTGAGTGCCCTAGAGCCGGGGGTCAGAGCCTTATAGAGCCCTGCATGTGCCAGGTCCAGCCCCGGCACAGGCAGGGAGCTAGACAGTGTAGCCTCATTCCTCATGGCCTCAGGGGCCCTGTAGTGCCAGGTCCCCTTGGTGGTGGAATTGGGGCCAGTGCTGCAGTTCACATGCAGGCCAGCCTGTTCCAGGAGCAAGCCAGATGGAAGATGGAGCAAACAGATGCTTCTCGTGCTGGGGTCCCCCTTCATTTGAGGTGTAACTTAACAGGCCAGGTATATCTCCTAAGTATGGATTTTACACACACACACACACACACACACACCACCCTCCCATCCCCCCATTGATAGCAAAGGATAACTACTGAGAGTACAGGACAGCTGGGAAGGGAACGGGCATGCTGCTAGCCCAGGTGAGCAATGAGGAATCAGCCTTGGGGGTGCTAGGCTAGAGGCCAGGCCTGAGATTTTCCAGGTTGGTATTTCTATGCATAGCTGTGCTGACTAGCTGTTCCTCCAGGGGCCCCTGGTACAATAGTCCCTACCTTGGGAGTCCCCGGACCTCCCCACAAACCAGGTCCTTAGACTAGGCCTTAGCTCCCAGGATGCCTGCTCCCCAGCTGGCCTCTGCAGCCTTCTCAGCAGTCTCTGACCACACTGGGCCATACAGAGGAGACATGGGCAGGACTGAGAACAGCCATCGTGAGCCCTGCCACTCTCTCAGACCAATTAACCTTTAGAGCTGCATTAGGGAAATTAGGCGGCATATTTCCCAGCTGCAGATGGGTCCTGTGGGGCTAAGGAGGGAGAAAGGAGAGAGCCCCCTGCAGTCGACACCTCCTCCTTGCCCTCACTTGCCCTCCTGCTCTTAGGTTTTGAGGGGTACCCTGGCCAAGGGTCACCACCTCTCTAAGAAAAATCTGAGAGGCAGTGAGGTTGAGAAAGCACACAGGAGGGAAGGCTCCACACCCAGGGCCAGCCTGATAGGTCACTGATGTGACCCCTGGGACTGCCTGGGCCTCAGTTGCCCTGTCCATAAAATGAGAGCATTTGCCTGGAAACCCGCTAACCTGACACCTGTGCATTCTGAGACTGAGGCTCCTTGGTGGCTGGTTTCCCCTGAGGAAGGGTGACCCCAGGAAGAGGGAGAGAAAGGGAAGGCAAGTATCCAAGCAGCTGAGACTCGGGGCTGGGGACAGTGGGGATGGAAGCCCTAGGGGGGTGTCATGCGAGAGGATGAGAGCTGAACCCAGAGTCCAAGAACATAAGGGGTCCTTTCGAGAGGATGGGGCCAGGAGGACAGACTTCAGGGGCTTGTTGGAAAGTTAAGCAGGAAGAAAGGGGTGAACTTTCCAGAGTTGGCCTCTCTTATCAACCCAGGTTCCCCTCCAGGAGGAGCTCTCAGATTGGGGCTTCTGAGACTCGCTGCATTCCCTTCCAAGCCAGGTCTCCCCAACACTCGAGTCTCAGGGTTCCACATGGACGCTCAGGCTCATGGAGGACGTCTGTCCCAACATCTCTGCAATTGTCCTTCCCTGTGGTCACTCCCGTGTCACTGAGGCTGGGGACAAGGAACCTGTGCTGCTGTGCACACGCCTCTGCACTGGGCCTTGTCCGCATGGGTGCATGTGAGTGCACCCGCCTGACAGGAGGCCTGTCCCTCCCTGCGTGAACACCATGTTGAGTGCCCTTTGTACTAGGTACCTGGTCATGTCAGGAAGCTTGCAGGGGCCTGAAGGAAGGCCAGTGGCTCAGAGACTCTTATCCTGAAGGGATGAGCAATGTTCCTGAAGCTCTGAGCCTCCTCTCCCTCAGGTCGGGGCAGGCGGTTTGAGTCTAGCTGGAAGCACTGCCGAGGAGCACCCCAGTTTGGCCAGGCCTCACCACCTTCTGCCCGTACCTGCAGGGGCTCCAGAGCTGGCTTCCACTGGGGCTGTCACGGGGGTGTCACACTGCCTTTGACACTTCCTTGGCGCTGCATGAATAGACTGAGAGATTGGAAGCCTGGCTCTTGGGCCCAAATGGTCAAATGCACACACAATGTGAGAAAGTCTTGAGGTGGAGGAAGGGTCCTGGAGCTCTAGGGGACCTCAAGCCTCTTATGAGACTCTGCTTTAAGGCTGCTAAGAGAGTCAGGGATGCTGGCTGCACAAGGAGGCCTTTGGGCCCACCGTGGACTGGACCATGTCAGAGGGTGTGACCGGATGGGCAAGGAGGGGAGTGGGCAGGTCTCCAGGTGACATATGCCCTGCTGCGGAGCACACTTGGGCTCCCCAAGTTTGCCTACAGCCTCTTGAGGGTCCTTCACAGGGCAGGGGAACAGACTGTGGCAGGCAGTGCGAAGAATATCACCCAGGAGGCTACTGGGGAGGAAGTGGGGTCTCCTGGGAACACCCCGAGGCCCAGAGCTGCAAGGCCCAACTGGCATCCTTCTGTCTATCTCCTGTCCATCTGCAGGTGTGCCGATGCTCTCCGTCCAGCCCAAAGGCAAGCAAAAGGGCTGTGCGGGCTGCAACCGCAAGATCAAGGACCGTTACCTGCTGAAGGCGCTGGACAAGTACTGGCACGAGGACTGCCTCAAGTGTGCCTGCTGCGACTGCCGCCTGGGCGAGGTGGGCTCCACCCTGTACACCAAGGCCAACCTCATCCTGTGCCGGCGCGACTACCTGAGGTAGGCCACCTCCACCTGCTGTCAGAAAGCCCCTTCCTCCAAGGTCCAGCCTCAGCCTGCTGGGACTCTAGACCCAGCTGTGCGCATGGCCTGTGTGTCTGTTCACCCCCTGCCCTGCCCAAAGATGCCCACAGAGCCCCTGAGGCCAGGGGGCTTTAATATCATGCCTTTAATACCTTGGACTTGTTGCCCAGCATGGGTCCTGGCCAGGCTTCCTGACAGTACCAACCTGGCTCTGCCCGGCCTCCGCCAGGTACTTCTGACTGCCCCTGTCCCTGCAGTCTGGGAAGGGATACTTAGGGAGCCTCCAGGAGCAGGTGGGGAAACTCAGACTTCCTGTGCCCTTCCTGCTTGAAGTCTCCCTTCCCACCTCTCCCCCTTTCCAGGAGGGCCCTGGGATTAGGCATCTGGTGTCTGGGGAGCCTGGCAAGTAGCCAGAACCTGGGAGAAGGTCTGCTTCTAGAGCTTCAAGGTCTGGGTTGAATGTGATCTGAGCCTTTGGCTTCTAACCTCCGAGCCTCAGTTTACTGTTCCGTGAAGTGGTGAAAAGAATAACCCTCTGGCCGTGTGTTCCTCAGTGCTCGAGCCTACCTCCCCCATAGCCTGGATGGCAGTCCCTGGGGCTGCCTCCCCAATAAACCCTCCCTTAGGCCATTCATGACATCAGCAAGGTTGGAAGGAGGCCACAGAGCAGGGGCCTTGGCTGAAGCCCAGCATCTGCATTTGGCTTGCACGCAGTCTGCTGGGTGGTGACCGGCCTTGGGGGGAGGAAGCCCATCGCGTTAATTAATAGGTCAGGCAGGGCAAGGGTTTTGTGGGGCTCCCTCTGCTCACGTCTGGGCATGTTGGGGATAGGGTTATCAGAGGAGGCACCTCTATTTTCCTGAAGAACCTAAGATTTATGTGCTGTTCCTTGTCTTTTAGCTTATGCCTTTTGCAGGGGTTTTCTTAAAGCGGAGCAGTAAGCCGGGATCTGTGAGTCAGAGCTCCTGGCTGGGGTGAAGGAGAGTGGCTGAGGCCAGGGAGAGGGGCTAGGGAAGGATGCTCCTGGGAAGGGAGTGGCCTGGAAAGGGCCCCTAAGTCTAGAGATTTGGGACATCACCTGGGGGCAACCAGACTAAGGGGAGGTGGTAGACACAGGACCCAGAGAGGGAGGACAGGGTGCAGGATGGGCTTGTCAGCAGAGCAAAGCACCCCCACACATTCTGGGCCCTGCCAGCTACTAGAGCCTGAAGGTATTTTCCTGGGCTCTGGCAGAGGCCAACGCATGACCCTGTGGCCAGATAGGCCAGTGGGCCAGGTAGGGTGGGGCTTCCTTGAGCTGCTCAACCTCAGAGGAAAACTATCCAGAGCCCACTCTGTAGCCATGGCTCATTGGACTGGGCGAGAAAGCCCCTGTTGCAGGCAGATGCTGTGGCCCAGCCTTTGTCTGCCTTAATCTGAGCCACCAGGCAGCTCAGGCTGATGAATAATGGAACCAAGCTCATCTGCAGGCGCCTGAGCTTGAGCTGGACAAATCAGGGATTAGAGGGGCCTCCTGCTTGCCTCTCAGCTCCCTTGCTGCATATGGGGCTTGCTCTGTCAGTGTGCAGAAAAGAAATGAGGAGGAGCCTGGCTGGCTCAGACCATTGGAACATCCAGCCAAGAACTGGCCTGCATGTGGAGGGACTGAGCGCCCTGGGCCTCCGCCTGGTTTTGCAACCAGAAGCTAAGAGGAGGAGTCTCCGACTCAGAGGCATTAGGCCAGATGTGCCTGGAGCTCCCTTTTGGTATTAGGCCTCTTTAAGAAACATCTTTGAACAAGACCATCTAATTCCGCACCCTCATTTTAAAGAAGGATAAACAGGGCCTCCCCGGTGGCGCAGCGGTTGAGCGCTGGGTTGCGAAGCTGCCCGCGGCCTCTGCAGTGCTGGTTCGATCCCCGGCTGCTCCCCGGCCACCAGAGGAGGGTCCCACATGGCGCACAGACCTCTCCTGCCGCCCGCTGCTCCCCTCAGCAGTGTACTTCGGTCCTCCTGCCTGCTCTGCTCCCTGCTCTGGCTCTGGTGAATTCTCTCACCCTCCTGCGCTTCTGACTGTACCCAGTGCTTGTATAAATAAATAAATAAATCTTAAAAAAGAAAAAAAAAATAAAGAAGGATAAACAGACCCAGGGAAAGGAAAAAGGGACAGGCAAGAGTAAAATGATCCCCTCTGAGGACTGTTATCAGGACGTGATGAGTTGATCTTGGTAAAACCCTTCGAATAGCATCTGGCACATGGAACACACAATAGAGGTGTCTCCTAAGTGAGTTGTGATGGGGAATTTGCAAAAGTTTTCACAAGTCTGTGAAAGATTTTTCAGTTCCTTTTTATAGTTAAAATAAAGGAGGCTCAGAGATACTTGACTGAGGACATACAGCCTGTAATGGGCGAACTGTGTCTAAATTCAGGCTAGTGAGTCTGGAGTCCTGCTCAAGGTCTAGCCTCGTGGGCCCCTGAGGGGCCTCAGTGGGAGCCTGTCAGCCCAGCCCCAAGCCCCTACCCCGCCCTCCCTGGATGAATGTGCTGATTCTCAGAAGCCTGAGCTCCAGGCTGACTACACGCCCCTCCCTCCTTGTTCAGGCCATAGAGGTGAGGGTATGTGGATCCCTGGGTGGAGACAGCTCCCCTGTTCGCCCGCCTCTGGCTCTCTGGCTGGCCCCTGAACCTTCTGCACCTTCCATTCCCAGGCTCTTTGGCACCACAGGAAACTGTGCCGCCTGCAGCAAGCTGATCCCGGCCTTCGAGATGGTGATGCGGGCCCGGGACAATGTGTACCACCTCGACTGCTTTGCCTGCCAGCTGTGCAACCAGAGGTGAGTGCTGGACTGGTAGTAGACCTAGTACATACACCAGGCCCCAGCTGATGCCTGCTGGGATGGGTCTGGATTGCAGTAGAGGCGTGCAGTCCAAAGTGGGTTCTGTGTGTTTATGCGGCTGTGTGTGCATGTGGCCGTGAGCATGCCCGTGGAAATGTGTGCTTGGTGTAACTCAGCCCTGGGGCTAGCCCTGTGTGTGCAGTCCAGTACTGCATGTGCAGTCCAGTACTGCATGTGCGTGTGCATGGGTGCATCCTGCTTGAATGGAAAGGATGTGCAGGGGCTTCTTGTGCATGCACAGTGTGAAAACGTCATGCATGTATGCATAGTTAGATCGCTCAGCCATACTACCATTATGTGTTTTTAAATGTCACGCCCACATGTATGTATGATGGAATCAATAGGCACACGCACATGTGCTTCCAAGCATCCATGTACAACGGGCGTGTGTTGCTGTGTGAGCATGACCAGCGTGCATGTTCATGTGTATTTGAAATGTGTGTGTACAGTGTTCTGTATGTATGCCTTATGCCCTGCGTATGTGCATGCACACGCATGTACCTTCTAGCAAGAAGGGAATCCCAGACCTGCAGGGCAAGATCCCTTCAGGTAAAGGCCATTTACTGCTCACCCCACTCCTGTGATTCTGGTTCCAGCTCAGCCTCCCTTTGAGGTCTACTCTGTGCTCCAATCCTTTGTCCACCCCCAGGTATCCAACAAACCAGAACCTTCCTGGGTGGAGGCCTAGCACCCGTAGGCAGGACCTATCTCAGGGGCCCCCAGGTCAGGAAAGAGCTCATACAACAGTGTGCCTGGAGGGTGAGGTCCAGAGAGATCTGCAGGGCCCAGGTCAGCCTAGAGCCGGGGTCAGACTCACTGCTTGGGGGGCTCAGTGAAGTTGCAGTGCCACCTGGTGGTGGGACTGGGCTCTGCTGGGACTGGGCTTGTGACCCTGGGGTCCTTCTGAAGACCTCAACTGACTGGGGACTTTTGGGGAGAAAGGGCTGAATCCTCTAACACTTGAGAAAGACTGGAAGGCGGGGCCAAATCTGGCTTTGCGTAGGATGGAAAATGGGTCATCTCCTCCTGGAAAGATGCTCCGGGAAGCCCCAGGTTCTCTTTAGAGGAAGAGGCCTGCCACCGCGCCGTCCTCTTCACGAGGGGAAGGAAAGAGTGCGGTGGAAAAATCAACCATTTCATCCTTCCTTCATCCCCGTCTCTCCTCTGTCCATCTCTCTTCTCTTCGTCCTCTGTCTCGCTGTCCTCTCTCTTTTCCTTCTCTTGGACTGAGGTGAATTATTCCTCAATCTTCCTACCAACCCTATTCCTCCACTGGAGACCAGACGATGGAAGGCCCATGGCCCAGGCTTGTCTGTCTGTCTCTCTGTCCTTCACCCTAAGGTGCAGGGTCTGGTCAAGGGCTCGGCTGACCCAGGGTGATCAGCCAGATTTACTATGGGACTTTTGGGGGATTCCCTCTGGAAAATTCAAGGAGAAAACACCCCAGGACCTCACTTCTCCCATGTCTACCTCTGGAACCAGTCTGGGTCCTGTCTGGAGCCCACGCTACCCACTGGGACCCTCCATGGCCTCTCTCTCCTGCTTGGATTTTCCAGATTTTGTGTGGGAGACAAATTCTTCCTGAAGAACAACATGATCTTGTGTCAGATGGACTATGAGGAGGGGCAGCTCAATGGCACCTTTGAATCCCAAGTTCAGTAACGCCCGCCTGGCGCCTGGCCTCCAGGCTCATCTGTCCATCTGTCCGTCTGCCCGCCGCCCACTCGCCCAGCTGGCCAGCCACTCTCCTGCTGCGTCAGAACTCCTCCGTCCTCAATGGGAGGGGCGGCCTTTCCTCGCCGCGCCTGTCTGTGTGTGACCCCTCCTGGGGCCGGGCTGGGCCTGTACAGTCTGTCTTCTGTATATAAATGGGAACATTTATTTTATGAGAAATGTAATGCGATTTTATTACTGGCGTGGATTAAACTTATGAATGTTTCCGGGGAGGTTGCTCTGCGTTGATCACATGACTGACACAGACTTGGGGCCCTTCCCTCTGCTGGAAGTGGGGCGGGGGCCTCCCTTCCAACCAGGCGGGGTGGGGGTGCATGAAGCAGGGCATGGGCTCCAGTGTGTGTTGTTGCTGGATGGTGGGGGGCTCAAGTTGCTTGAGGAGGAAGAAGATGGAGCGAAGGGGACGACTCCGAGCATCTCTACCCAGAGGTGGGAACTGTGGCGGCCTCCCCTTTCCTGGCTAAACAAGTGCCCTGGCCCTGATCAGGCCCCCAAGATGAAGAGGACCAAGATGAAGCTGCCCTTCCTTGAGTTTCTGTGTGATATTCCCCCATCAAGATCCCCGGATGGTCCCCTGACACCCCCAGGCCCCAGCCCTGGTCTCCTCCACAGTAGAACCCCAAATCCTGACCCCCTCACATGCGAGTACCATCCTTAATCCCCTCCTCATTTCAGGGTGACATATAGCATTTGCTGTCTCTGCCCAGAAGCCTGGTCCCAATCTGGGACCCAACTTTCTGCTCTCCTGGGTGAGCCAGAACCATCTTCTTTCACTGTCACTCAGCCCATGCAGACTGAAGACTTTCATTCATTCAGTCAGCAATCCTTAATCCATCCTGTGTTACCCCCATGCACCAGACCCTGGGATGAATTATGGACCAGATACAGTCCATGCCCTTGAGGAGAAGGGAGAAAGCCAAGGGAAGCAATGGATAGAACACAGAAGGGAGAAGCTGGGGCAGGCCAGCTCCCTCCTGTGGACACAGGACCACTGGTCATGAGCTTAAGTCAGAGACAGACAAGTTAATGGATATACAATCAGGCAGATACATGCCCTGGCCAGCAGGAGAAATGGGCTCACAAGCACATGGTGAGTAGACAGAGACAGGACAGACAGTCTGTCAGGCATCCAACTCAGGGCAGAAGAGAGTCAAACAGCGCACTTTCTATCCACCTGCTAAGCTGGGCTGCTCACCCTCAGGGCTGCCCACTGGGTCGTGGCTGCAGCTTGGAGCTGAAAACGTATCACTGAACCATATTAAAGAGAGGCTCTTTGCATCTGAAGCCTGGACGAGCCAAGGCTGTATGGACACCTGCAGGCCCCTGCTCCTCCTTTCTCAGGAAATGTTCCTGTGCCGGCCACAGCCCAGGGTGGATGGGGCGGCCCATGGCTTCAAGCTCTGTCAGCCGCTGGGCAGGGACCTGGCTGCCTGGACCTCATGTCCCACTGCCTCAGGCTGCCCCTCCACTTTGAGTTAGGTGGGTGACGACTGGGCATTTATGGGCCCTGGGATGAGTTTTCATCTCCAAGTTGCAGTTTGTGGCCAGTGGCCCCATCTGTGGGATGGGATCGCTAGGGCCAAGCATAATTCTCAACTTTGAGGCATCCACTTACTGTGAAGAAGCTGCACCTGCATGTGTGAAGTGAAAAGGAGCAAAGAGCCAGATTGACTGGCCTCTGTGATGTGAGTCTGAGGTGACTGTGAAACCGGGGAACTGTCTGGTTGTGACCGTGTGAGATTAGGAATGAGTTTGAGGCCTGGAGTCCCTAATGAGGCATTTTCTCACTCAATCTAAAAAAAGCCAATGATTTTCCTGGATTGTGGGAGATTCCCCCAAAGCCAGACCCTGCCTGGTCCCTCAGGTCTAGGGTGACTGTGCCCACCCTAAGGGCTCCAACTCCCAACTTCAGAGTTTGCTGCAGATAAAGTCGTAACACAAGTTAATTACATGGTTATCGAGAGATAACAGAGCCACTCGAATGCAGTTTCTGGGCAATTACAATTGTTTCCAACAGAGTTACCATATTGCAGCCATGAAATAACATGTCATTTTGCAGTAATTATGTAATTAACTTGTCTCACCACTCTAGGTTGCACAACAATTAATTCACTCTCAATGAGATAGACTTAAAGTCAGCAGCCGGGCTTCAAAAGCCCCCAAGAGCTGGCCTTCTAAGAGGATCCCAAACTCATTCTGCCCAAACCAGACCTGGCCAGGGGACTGCCTCAGTGCCACGTGGCCTCGAGCATGCCAAGTCCAGGATCGCCGCCCCATGAGTGCTGTCTCACCATCCTCATCCAGGAAATGGGGGTGATTTGTTTCCCAGAGCAACACGGGGCTCAGATCTACACGGGGAAGTGTGCCTACATGAGCTGAGGTCACCACCTGGACATCATGAGGCCCTGAGTAGGGTACTCTTCACCCAAAAAGTCCACAGCCTCCTCCAAGAGGCCACACAAGAACCAATAAGGGGGTGTGAGGAACAGAAGAGCGATCAAGGGCTCTCTATAGCAGGGCAACTGAGGCAGGGCTACCGTGACTACTGGGTGCCTGGGATGATGCACCTGGAGAGTATTGACTACCCCTAGGGGTGGCCCAGGAGAAGCCTGACCTCTCCCCAGCCACGGTGATGGGGACACTTGGCTCAGTATAGGGCATGAATGGGCCTTTCAGGTTTCCTTGGGGCTGTGGTACCACCTGAGGTGGGACTGGGCGGGGGGCGCCAGGGAGCACTAAACATGCACTGTTAAGAGGCTGTAGTAACTGGACCCTCAGTCTGGGCGTGAGGTGGTGCAGATAGAGACAGACATTGTAGTGTAGCTATGTGCAAGTCCTCTCTTCCCCCATGGGACCCCATCCTCTCTCCTACTTTCCTTGGTGGCTTGTGTCAGAGATACCCTAACAGTGGGTCTGGGACCCAAGGAGTATGCTACCACTCCTTGGCCTGAAGGGGGACCATGGAGTCACATATGGAAAGAAGTTGGATTCCAGTCTTGACACTGCTGCAGGCCCATCATAAAGTTTCACATGGGTCCTTTCTTCCCCTGGGCCTGCTCTGCGTGGGACATTTAGGGGCCACAGGCAGAATCCACAAAAAAATTCCTGCATGGGAAATCTCATCTCTCTATGGAGAAAATGGTTCTCTAAAGCTGTCAGAGATGGTCATGGCCTGACTCAATTACAGGATCACCCATCTGGGAATGCTGCCACCAAGTGAGGGTAGATTCAGAAAAGATGCTCTGTAACTGCAACTGTGCATCATTGTTGCTGAAAAATTCAGTGGGAGAACGCTGTCAGTCTGTCAGTCAATACTTTATGTTAAATCTAAAACTATAATGCCCCAAAATGAATGATGATGGGCTAATACAAAGATGAGTTGGTCTGTAACAATGCTTGTTCAAGCCTGGTTTCCTATGAAAAAATTATCAGATGACCCAAACACACACACATACACCTAAAACCCAGAAGAATGCTAATTAACTTGGAACCTCATGAGCAAGTCTCATCTCTACACCTGACCCCTGGGAAGACTTTTTACTGCCTTATCCCAGCAATTGTGGAAGCCTCCTCCCACCAAATATGAGGTTCTCTCAGACTCTTGGTACCTGCAAAGTAGATTGTTCTTGGATTCCCTCCTGTTGGGACCATTTTTTGTGGCCCAGAAACATCCCTCCTACCAGTTGGTCTGTCCTCAGCTTGGCCTCACTTCTCCAATCCTGCCTGCTCCTCAGAGGTCCTCATGGTCTCCAGCCCCGACCAGCCCTTCCCTCTGCACTGGGTTCAGTGATCACATGAAAGTTTCACCTTCTTTTCCACCCTGTGGTTTCCCCTTTCACTTCCTGCACCCCCTTCTTGGAGCACAGGACATTCTTGCTGGGGCCACTTGTATTTGAGTTGGACACTCACGACCCTCTCCAGGGACTTACTAGGAAGGAGAATGCAGTTGCTGCTGAAAGCATCTGTCAGGGCTGCTGGGGCACAGGCAACAGGAGGGCCTTACTATGAAACTGCTGTAGCAGGACAAAGAAGAGTCTGGAGGTGCTGAGGGACTGAGACAGGTTTCAGGCTACCTCTTTTGTTCTAATAGGTCTCTCTGCTGCACTTAGGAAACATGGAGTCTCTTCCCCCCACTGCAGGTCCAAGGACCCTCAAAGTGACCCCCTTCTCCTGCCTCCTTCCCGTCTGTCACCACAGGGCAGGGATCTGAGATGGAACAGTGACCTGAGATAAAGTGAGGAGTAGAGACAGGGAGACATGAGAGAGAAGGGAGGTGGGATAGAGAAGAGAGGGGAAAGGAAGGCGAAGGGGCAGAGAAGAGAGAGTGCTTGAGAGCTCTGAGTGACTAGAGGGAGGTTTACTTCAGACAGAGTAGGCAGGAATGACTTTTTCTTTCCCACTCTTAGCAACCATCCTTTACAAAGGGCTCGCTTTGGGGAAATTGAGGCCCAGAAAGGGAGTGATGGCCAGAAGCACAGTGGAGCCAGTCTGGACTGGGATCCTGGGGTCCTTGGATCCTTGGCCTCCATGGCCTCCACCTGAGCCAGGCTCTATCTCCTGCATCTCCAGACTTGCAGACTGCATCTCCACCTGAGCCTCCACCTGAGCCAGGCTCTATCTCCTGCATCTCCAGACTTCCAGACTGCATCTCCTCAGCTCCTGCTCAGGCGCACAGGATGGGGGCCAAGGGGGGAAGCACCACGAAGCCCTAACACCTGCTCAGTGCTCTCTTCCTTTATTTTCCAGGTTAATAAGAAATAGTCCCTTAGGATGGTGTAGGGGTTAAGTTTCAGCACTATCATGCTATCACTGCTGTGGCCTGAGCTACCCACACATGGCACAGCAGACCTCTCCTGTCTCGCCCAATGCTCCCCTCAGCAGTGTATTTCAGTAGACCCATTTGTTCTGCTCCCCACTCTGTCTCTGGTGAATCCTCTCATCCCACACTCCTCTGGCCTACACCCCAGTTCTTCTATGCATAAATAAATAAAAATAAATACTGAAAAAAGAGACATATTCCTTAAAATATCAAAATCTGGGCTTGAGTTCTTGGCTGCCATCATTGGTCTCCTGCCACATAATGCCACTTCATTGGGACACTTTGGCTGGATCTGTGGCTTCTGGGGATTCTAGCCTGATTGTTCTGGAATTTCTGTCCTACACAGTGGATACATCAAGAAAGTAGGTTTCTCTGCAGACTCCGCATGACCAGTTTTCCAGGGAAAAAAAGGATTTGCT